CGATCGCAGAAATTACCGATGGCATCGCCTCGCGATTTCCCGCCTGGCCGTTCGCCGCGGCTCCGCGCCCGAGAATTATAATATTTATCTTTCGCGGATAATAACGGAATTGAATCGCGTGAAATTTCTAACTCGTAATGCGATATCGCGGCCCGTTTTTTCTACACGTTAAACCGTATAATTACAATAATCCGCCGATGATATCGCGCGCGATACACGTATCGCTACCTACGTATTTAGCGCGCAAGGCAATTTCCTGCTTTATTATAATAATATCCGGAGCAATCTGCCCCCTTCCCACCACCCGGAGCGTAGCGTCGTCCTTTTCGTGTGGTTTCTTATCTTCAAACGCGCCGCATCTTCGTTAACCGCTCGCGTCTCGCGCCGATCTTCGACCACTTTCCGATCCGTTTGTCCGACCTTTCACCGGAATTTCGCAACGTCCGGGTGACAGCGTTCCGCGAGCTTCGAATCCTCCGAACGGTGCGCCGTCGCGGAGGATGTGGCAGAATTGCAGACGGACTTTGCCAAGGAGAGAGTCGAAACGTCGCAACTTTACCCTCCCTGCCGAACGATGATCAACCCCGTGGAAAAGCCATCGAACGAACGGAGGGCGAGAGCAACGAAACAACGCCAGCAAGGCTGCAGTGGTTAGTGAGTTCCGACCGTGCAGTTAACCACCCACCGGCGTTACCGGTCGCTCGCGTTTAAAGCTCCGCCAGTAAAACGATAAATTGCACGACTCGACGGAACCGCGCAAAGAACGAGGGACCGACGGATGAAGGAGGAGTGAAAGAGAGACGAAGGACGGCGGCGGCAGAAAAAGAGAGAGAGAGAGAGAGAGAAAGTGTGTGTGTGTGTGTGTGGAAGAACGAAGGAGAGGAAAACGGTGGTCCCTGTCAGCAATTGCCCCCTCTCGTAAGAAAAAATGGCAGCTGCTGTTGCTAGATGCCGCGTACCGAACCATAATACCGTACCACCCTCCTCGCTTACTCGTCCGCGCGGAGCTCGCGCGAGAGGGTATTTGAGGGCTCCGGAGGAGAAACCGGGAGGCCGACCGTGCCGAAAGTACCAACCTGGTCGGGAGAAAAGAGGACGATACGACCCGACTGTTGAACGAAGAGGGACGATCGGTCAAGGTAAGAGGAACAACGGAGAACCGCAAAAGAGGAGGAGGCACGTACGGTTCGCGACGACCACCACCATCTCTGTCGCTGTCGCCGCCGCCGCCGCCGCCAGATCCGCCACCCACCACCATCACCATC